CTAAGTAATTATGCTTATGTCTTATTCTGTATAGGGCCGAGATATACCAAGTGAGCGTATTTCGCACAACACGTGGAAAGAACGGGACCTACTCAAAGAAGCGCCGTCAATACGGCTGCAAAGTGTGCTCGTTGCTGCGTCCGGGGAAGAGCCCGTGGGTAACCACGTTTTTCTGTGTGGAGTGCTCTGAAGTGAGAATGCGGAGCGTGGATGACGATAACGCCGTTGGAAGAGGGAAGGTGTATCTATGCCAATAGGTGCGGCAACATGATCCTAGTGGACCTACAAACTCGGCCACCTGCAGCCAGATATGGCACGATCTATGGCGGGGAGGAGCGACAATTCCTCCCGGTCTCAAGGCTATTCGGCTGTGTGCTCCTACTAGAGCAGGCGCGCAACGTATAGACGACGAGCTGGAAGGTGACAGTTGTTGCGATGACAGTTCCAGCGTAGGGTCGGGAAATTCACGAAGCACAGCGAGCGCTACGAATGCAGGACGTTCTGCAGAGAATATTTGTGAAGTAGTACAGACAGCAGTGATCTAATCAATCCTATGAATAATCAAATATGGAATGAATGCAAACTCTTTGTGAGTGATGGTTTTTTGTTGATATTTAGAAATTTTCCCTGTAGCCAATTTGTGCGATACAGGATATTGTGCCATATGTTAGAACCACCATTTTAACTCTTACCCTGTGCTGCACAGAGTAGATAACTGACAGAGATTGTGAGCTTGGAAAAACTCCGCAAATAATAAACCCAAGTCATTTTCTTACCCTGTAGAATACAGGGTAATTTCCGCCCGAAAACGCGGGGCTAGAGGGGTTAATACTACGACAACGGCAAGACGCTTTTTGTTTTGGCGACAAGCAGTCAAGTATGCTGATGGCGTATCCGAAGATAAAGGGACCACAATGGATGTCCGTTCTTTTTAGGCCCAAGCGCGGGTGTGTACCCCCATCATGAGTTTTATGAGCTATGAGGGGGATTATCCTTATAGTGGTATTCCTGACAGTATCCCAGCTCAAACATCAAGGGATGGATGGCGGGAGTCGTTACTGCAACCTATCTACGATTACACGAAAAAGTGCTGAGAGCAACCTACGATGCTCTTGGGTTGCTGGATAGTTTACCTTGGCTTATATTACGTAAAAAATCACAAGAGCCGAATTTTTAAATGTTGTGATACCTATGTATGAGTAACTACGAATTTCTTATTTGTTCGAGTAAGTACGGACCCCCCCCCCTTTTAAAGTAATTAAAGCGGGAGGAATCAGCAGTGGAGGCCGCAGCCCCGGCGAGGATGTCGGCAAAGGGAGCGCCACCGCAAGGAGAAGACGGCTCTACAGATGGAGGTACGGGCTCAAGGCATCGTGGTACTCGTGCTGCTTCCGCCACCTGACGATATTTTGTTTGTTTATAGAACGTCGTGCTAGTTTGCGATACCACAAGTCAGTCGGCTACGTCCGCGCTGCACAAGGGCTCACCACGGACCCTGTGGACGATGATATGTCGATGACCTGTCAGCCACCCAAGCGCATGTGATGAATGAAGATGCTGACATGGAGGGTCTGGTGAACGAGGGCGAGGTCTACGACGCAGGCGCAGACGGGGACACCGCAGACGGAGAAGCCGCTAGCCCGACGCCACATTAGACGCAAATGTAGCGACAGAGGCCGCACACGGAGATTCTGCAGGCGGAGAAGTCGCTAGTGCAGACGCCGCAGACGGATACGCCGCTAGTCCAGACGGCGTACACTCACGAGCTACGGCACCTGTCGAAACAAGACCTGCTAGTCAAGTTAGCCTCGGTATGCTGCTTGCTGTGTTGCTTTGTGTGCTGTTTTGAAATGTTGCTAACTTACTGTGGCTGTTGATATTAAAGATGCGGCTCGCCAGTTTGTGACAATTACCCGACAGAACGCCGAAGCTGAAACTACTACAAGCAATGCCAGAATAAGTTGTCAGTCAATTGCGGGTTGAAGTCATAACCGCAAAAGAAAAAGTCTCGAACGGAGTACGAAGATTCGGATTGTGATGACGCAGTAACAGCTGCGTTTTCCCAAGCGTTCCAAGTTTAATTATGGGGGACAAATCCGCCATGCTACTTCCTCTCAGACTGTGTCGGTGGGACGGCGCCTACCTCAACGAAAGACTAAAACGTGGGAAGAGCGAAAGAAGATGCTAAAAACGCATAAGCCTGTGGATAACTTTGTGCCAGCGCTTCCAGTCAAAACATTCAGCAACTGGACTGAGTTTCAGACAGCACTCGAAAGGTACGAGACAGAACTTTTTCTGCACTACCGTATTTGAAGCTCTGAAACTCGGGAGAAGCACAACAGGTAATCTTCAATTGGGGTTGACGAGTGGTGTCTGAATAGGATATAGAAACGCTTTTATTATTCTATTTCGATTGTTGTATTACTTCCGTGTTGCTTAGCCGCCCAGGAGCTCTACCCATTCGGGAGCGTCTATCGCACAGTTTTAAGCGGATGCGGTGTACGCACGGGGTAATGCAAGCGCCACGCGGGGAAGGTCGACGAGACCATGGCTGGAGGTACACCGGGTGCGAGGCAAGCTTTACGATTCGATCAGCAAAAGTTGTAAAGAAAGGGGTTGCCGAATGGGAAGTCGCCGTTCAATTGGACTCGGAGGTAAGAATGTTTGACATTATGTGCTTCGTTTGTGAGCACCGACTTATCATTTAATCGTTTTCTGTAGATCGCGAAGCACAACCACAAAACCAACAAGACAATATACCATTCGTACCGCGGAGCAACGTCGATGCCTCTGTCGTCCAAGGTTCGAGAAGACCTCGAACGTTTGGCAGACATGAAGGCCAGCACTGCAGATATCAGCCGATATTTTTCTGATAAGCTTGGTGGGTGCTTCTGGTGACCGTGACGAGGGTGTGTCAGTCAAAAACAATTTTATCAATTTATATTAACACTGCTGTTTTATTTTTGCTTTAACAGATATGGTTCTGATTTCACAGCAAACTAGAAGCATTTTGCAAGAAGTGTTGGGATCTACAACAGTGGAGCGGACCAGGGTGCTACTGGATGCATTTGTGGAGGAGGACAACAACGACGTTCTTCTTGTGCAAGATCAGATGGGTCATAACTATGCAGCCATCGCTGTAAAAGACATGCTTCGAGCAGTGGGGCGACAGTTTGGTAATGGACTAGACGCGCGGTGCCAACAACTTGGGGTATCATTTGGGTTAGTATGATATTTACAAATTACTATTCATTTCGTCTAGCAACTAACGTTACTAACAATTTATATGAATGAATTGTACACAGGGCCTTGATAGTTACGTCAGCTACTGGAAGAGGCATCCCGATTATTGATTTTCTTGCACTAGATCAAAAGGCTGTTACGATGGAGTACATTGTTTTTCAAGCGGCATAACCCATTTTGGAAGCGAATCCAGACAATTGGCATCGACAAAGACTTGTGGAATGGCGCGTGCTTGAAAAGGCGTTCCCTCCCACCAAAGTATTTTATGTCAGTTCCACGGCGCTCACGTACTGGGGGAAATAGTTTGCAGAAGACCAAAATTTAACCTGAAGATGGCACAGCGGGACACGATGGAAGCTGCGTTCGCAAAGCTCGTCTATTGGTACGGAGAAGCTCACTGAGATGTTGTGTTACTTTTTATGTTGCTGACTGACTGTGCTGCTCTTTATGCTGCTGACGCACTTGGTTGCTTTGTGTGTTGCTGAATATAACATTGGGTGGTGTTTTTAATGTACTTTCAGTGCAATTCAAATGAGCTTCGATTTAGAGCTGGCTGAGTTCACGAAAGTCTCCAAGAAAGAGTGTCCCGAGCTACTCGAATACTTCGCAGCAAACCGGAAAATGTGCGTGTCAATGTGGACAAATCACGTACGAAGTGAATATTTCTCAGCTGGCAATACCACTACCAATCGAAACGAATCAAATTGGAACCAGATAAAACTTCTTCTGGGCAAAAGACCTCGACTCGACGCGACAATCAGCGGGCTGCTGGCACATCAAAGAATAATCGTCCGGCAGGTTCTTGCTACTATGGGAAATCATGCATCTACCTCTCGTCTACCGGGAACTGTTCCAGACTTTCTAAGTTTCGTTTATAAGCACTTAAGCCACGATTTATTGGCTAAAGTACGCTCGCATTGGGTCTATTTTATGGTTTATTCGATGAACACTACGTGCACAAAGGAAAAAGGTGGAGCTGGTATGTGGAGCGTGAGATCCAATGGGTACACTTATGAATGTAGCGATTTCGGGTGGACTTGTTCGTGCTCATTCTATTGCAGTTACAACCTACCGTGTCAGCACTTGATGTATGTTGCTGAGCATGTCCATCGTTTCGAGTAGCTACCTGCCATGACTGTTCACGAACGCTGGGATATGATGGCGATGGTGGAGCTGGAGAAGGGTTTCAGAGATGGTATATCATCGCTTCAAGCTGTGGAGGTCTCGATGAAAGTGGCAGGTCCCGCTTATGAACATGATGGTTTGACGCAAAAGAAAGAGTGAGCGAACGCGGTCGAAACTCAACTTGATTCGGTCGATTTGGTCGAAGCGACCCATCATTATTCCTCAACACAAGAAGCAACCCATGACTCAACTCAAGAAAAACATTATCGAAGTGGCGGTGGAGCCCAGCGTAAGCATAAATGCCGTGTCGTATACGTAAAAATGCGGCGCCGAGAGCATGCCAACGTTGTTGCACTGTCATCAGAAGAGAAATACTGCTATACAAAAGCTGTGTTTGAACCTGTGATGGAGCATCTAGCGGAATTACCGAGTCCTGCATTCTACCCCGCCCTGAAGGCCTGGAAAACAGAAGTTAACAAAGGTCTACACGATTTTAGATCATCGGAAGAGCAAACATTAGACGCTACAACAGTGCCAGATGAAGACGGATCAGGAGAAGACTTGGATGTTATCGACACTACGTCTGACATAACGTCAGCAGATCTCATTGAAACTATAATTTCATTCGTGAAATGGAGAAAAGTGAGCTCGATCTGCAAATAGATTCTTCAAGGGCCGAGTCGTCGCAGGAAAGTGAGCTTGGTAGTCTTACCTCACGGAATAAAACAGCTCCAGCCAGTGACATTGACATCGCCACCTCTTTCACTTCGGCGAATCCTGGCGTGACGCCCGGATTAAAGAACTGTTACCCGACAAAAGCCGCCGTCACGGTAAAATCTACGGAAGAACCACCCAGTGTGAAGAGCTATTACCCCCCCCCCCAAAAAACAAAAAAGGTGCAGTAAAGGCAGAAGCGACCAAGAAAAGTTTGAAAAAAGCTGGAACACAAGGAGGCCGTCTTGAAATGCTATGTTTTCCAAACCCAAACCACGAAGCAATCAACGAAAAAACTAAAGCAAGCTCGGCTGAAGAAACTTGCAGGACCTAGTAAGCTAGCCGTCATTACGTTACCGGACAAACATGTGCCATCTGGGTCTCGCGTCATCGTGTGGGCAACAAATACTTCCGACCGGTACCATGTCAGCGAGATCTTGGCAGGTTACCCAACGAGCTTGGACGACGATTTCATGAATGCGCGTGTTGCACACAGCTGTCGAGAGTCTGTGTCTCCCAAGGACTACATCTACAACTCTGTGATTCTCAAACTGCTAGTAATCAAGCTGAAAGCGGTCATTGAAGCAGAACGGAAGAAGCGGCCCAAGTCGAAGTATTTCAACCCCGTGGCACCGCGACAGCAACACCGAAGCCATTGTTGCATATTTGCCTGGTGGAACGCCACGATTTACAAGGTAAGCTTTTGTTGTGTTGCTTGTTGGGTTGCCCGGTGTGTTGCTTGTTGTGTTGCCCGGTGTGTTGCTCGGTGTGTTGCTCGGTGCGCTGCTGTGACTGACTTGCTTATTCAACGTTGATGGTTGCTGTACAAATCCGTTACAACAGTGAAGCTGTCTTTAAAAAAGTCGGAGTTTTACAACGTGGTAAAAACAATCAACGCATGGAGAGCTGACATGGAATGGCTGCAAAAGACCAAGTTGGGCAATATACTTGCAAACCCTGAGTTGTTTAAAGCGGAGACTGATTCGGACGACACTTTCTTACTGTCGGCGGGGGGGGGGGGTATCAGGAGCTGGCAAACGAAGTGGTGGTACAGCTCTAGAGTGCTTGTTTAAGTTCTACTTTCCGAATATCAAGTGGTGAAGGCACCGTTAAGGTCGACACGCTCGTTAGAATGCTTGCGCGTGACAGAATGCTCTCTGATGTCATTATCAATTTCAGTGTTCGATGCATCTGCAATGCGCTGCGGGATTGCTACGCATTGGATTCATTTTCTCCAACTATGGGATGTCCTAAACCACCACAGTCACGGATTTCAAACTTTCACTACCTTGTGTTGCCTCTGCAATTAAGCAGCATCCATTGGGGTGCCGTCATCGTCGCCATTGCTTACAAAAGAGAATCGGGCTTTCCTTACTACTACGAACCAATGTGCGGACCTTCGTATAGCGATACGATGGAAGCGACTTACACGTCTACGGCTGTGCCATTTTTGAAAGCGTAGCATGCTAAAACCATGCCGAATGAAGATTATCCAGTGGAGAACAGTAAAGTATGGTTAATGTTGCCAAAGCAGCCCGATGGAACATCGTGTGGTGTGTTGACTATTGCCCAATTTTATTCCGTGTTGAAGAACAGCTTCCCGCTTGCACAAGATGCCGTTACAACGGACGATATCGCAATTATGCGGCTTCGTATCATGTGGATGATAGTTATGCGACCAGAATTTAACACTGTAGCAAACAAAATTGCTATGGAGATAGAGGCGACCGACTTAGAGCTACTTGCGACCATAACACTATAACACGAGCAGTTGCCTTCGCTAAATGGTATTTTTTTTTTTAGTAGTTACGCCATCTCGTCTTCTTCCTGTGAGTCTTCTTTCTCTGAGTTTTGTATTAAGCTGATTTAAATGTGCTCTTATAGAGCTTCGCAGCACTGTTCGAGAGCCACTGAGTACGACATCACGTAGCCTGTTTTGTGCGTACTTACTCCAGCAGCGGCGGCACGTCGGATAGTCTGTTCCTTCTCGCGAGCTATCATCAGAGCCAACTCATCTCGTTTATTCATAAGCTCTAGTGAAAACCGTGAGATTTTCTTCAGCTTTTCTTCTATCAGCTTGATATTCTGGAGGCGAGAGCGCAGCATTTGCTTGCAAACCATAGCATTTCGAGTGCGCGAGAGAGTGGTGCCTTCAGTACTACGTGGCTGTAGCGTCGGGGGGGGGGGGGGGGGGCAGTGGCGGTGGCAGTTGATCGGAGCAAACGCCATCGAAGTGTTTGCTGCTGCCTTGGTCCATTTTGTGGGTGCACCAACAGTCGCTATTCCTCTTGGGCTACTGTGATAATTGTCAAAAGGCTTATGGAACTTTCACAGTTCCGGCATTTTATTTCTCAAAAGAAGGAAGCCCTAAAATAAATTACGCCTTGTGTTGCTTTTAAGGGTTGCTTCTTGTGTACGGGAGACTAGTAGGTTGCTGCAAGACCTGTCGTTTTGTCGTAATTAGGATGCAATAACGGAACTCGATGGATGGCACAAAAGCTATTTCGGGGTAATTTGAAAGAGAGACGAGCAATGCGCGAATATGTGTACAGGCGAAAGAAAACTATTTCTAGACAATTCTTCCGGCCATCTTGGTGCGGATGGCTTGACGCTACTAACTCCGATCTCAAGTATTTCCCACCAAACGCAAAAGATCTCTGCCAATCAGCGGACGCGTTTGTATTCTCTAAGATAAAGGACGCATGGAGGGTCAAGTATAACTAATAATATAAAGCTGATTAATGCGAGCTGTTAGCAAAACTAGATTAGAAAGGGGGGATCGGAAATTTTCAAAATGTAACGGGCCTGGGGTGTCCGTTACTTGCTTACACATAGTGTTGAGGAAGCGTACAAGTCCAGTGATACTGAAACCAAGTACTTAGTCTGAAGGAAAATCAACTCTGTTTTTTTTATTTAGGTCCAGGGCAGCTTGCCCTGACCACTCAAATACACGTCAACTCCTTATTGGTTGATTATGGGTCTGGCTCCCCATATTTCAACCAATAAGGTGACGGCAGTTCAGCACACGCTACTCGTGTGCTGCTGCACCTACTTTTGTAATGCAAATCTACCTACTTATGTAATGGTGTGAACCACTACAAAGAACCTATAAAACTACCTACATATGTAACTTGGAAGAGCCCATTACATCACCCCCCTCTTAAGACAGCAATCACCTAACGGGGGTGCGCTTCAGAGAACAATCGGGAAAAACTGGGAAATGGCGGAGAAGAGAGCACTTGAGAACTTGACGGGCGGGAGCTCCTGCGAAGCCCAGGAGCAGTACAAAACAACTTGCGCGGACGAGAACAACATGGCGCAGCAGACAAGGGCGCCGAACCAGGCAGGAAGCGGAACAACGCAGACGGCTCCAGCGTCGGCGACGACGCTGAACAGTGGGTGGACCGCTGATATCGCACCTGAGAGCGTGAGTCGACTTGGGGCTCGGCCCGGCGTAATGAACGAGGATATGAAGCCGTGGGCGCTGTACGACTTGTCCGTTGGACACCATGCAGGACCACTTTCGGCGCTTCAGGCGTCTCCGGAACAAAACACTCGACGGCGCGACGTACGAAGCTTTGCAGAGATCATGGTGCGCATTCATCCGACGGTGGAATCGGATGCATGAGGCTGGAGAAAGTGTCGTCGGCTGGCTCGGTGATCGCGAAGCCCTACAAGCCGAGCATTCACTCGGTGATCTGCGCCTGAAAGTCTGCGACGACGCTTGGACCGAAGACCGTTTGTGCTATGTCAACGTACGCGAAGGTTGCAGTTCGTGTGACATCGGGCGACGCCCGACGCAAGCTGAGTGGGATCAGCATATTGTCGAGTATCCGCTCATGCCGACCGAACACGCTTGGATCGAGAAGTATAAGCGCTCACTCTCCAAGTTCACCCAAGCGGCTATTCGCGGCGGCTCGCGCCGACAGCGTTCGCGACGGAGCCCGTCTCCTGCGCATTCGACGTCTCGAAGGGCACGTAGTCGATCGCGTTCTCGATCGCCGCGAGGTCGCTCGCGGCCGCGTTTGACTCGAGGCTGGAGTCGTAGTCGTAGACGACATCAGGAACGTCACGAAGCAAGTTGGCGCGAGGATCCCACGTATCATCAGCAGGTTGAAACCCGAGCCATCGTACCTTATACTCCCGCGCGGCGGGAGCCGCGTGTTGAGCTGACGACTTGGTCGAGTGACGCACGCGGGGATGATCTTCGTGATCAACAATACGGTCCACAATCCAACACGTATCTCCATTCGAGTCAACGATGGGCGGAGGACCGTCGCGGTGGAATTCGACGCGACCTGGTTGACCAGGACGACGTTGAGCAGGCGCTGAACACTTCTCGGGACGCACAGGAGGAGGCCGAGCGGGCGGCTGAGAGCTCTCGGAACGCCGAGGCGACGGCGAGTAGTTTGCGGCAGTCGTATCGTGAACTCTTGCAGCGACTGCGTAGTCTGGAGGCGCAGGAGTTTGGCGGACCGAGGAGTGGAGCTTTTCCGCGCGAGCGGGGAACTGGGACAGATGGGACGCTGGCTCGACAGGCTCGTCGTGAGGGCCGCTCAACGCATGCTCCTGTCCCGCCTCCGGGATCATCGCGGGAAGATACTTCTTAAGTCGCCCGGCGTAGAACGTCGGGTGTAGTCGTAGCGACGTAGGAATGTCTAGCGTGTAGGCATCACCCATAGCTCGTAGTACTTTGAATGGCCCAATGTAGCGCGGCGCGAGTTTGCTCGCGCCTAGGTTCGTAATAGCAGAGGTACGAATTCCATCCGTTGAGAGTAATACCCGCTCACCAATCTTGAATGCACTTGTGTTCTTGCGGCCACGTTTGTCAGCGTTTTCCTTCTGCTTGTCAACCGCGAGTTGTAGCGCGTCACGGACGAATCAAGTAACCGATTGGCGATGAAGGACAAAGTCGGATACCGCTGCCTTGTCAGCGGGTCGCGCTGGGGGTTTCGGCGCGTAGCTAGCCACAGTCGAGTGTGGCTGTGCTGGAGCGATCAGCGTTCGGTGTGTCCAGTCAACTAACGGCGACGACGTGGATTGCGCGGGTGCGAGGATCTTCTTCGACTGTAAACGCGTCACCGCGTTGATGTCTACTGCAGGAGTAGCTGAACTCGTAGACGGCAGAACCGTTGTCTCACCGGAGACCGGTGGTCGAACCAGTATCGGAACCGGTTGGGCAGGATTATCACATTCCTCCCCCTCCAGAGTAAAGCCATCAGTCGCCGTGGGTTGGCCCACAGCAAGTTGTGCGGGGACACGTGGATGACGCGCGTTGTTGACGAAAAACGGAGTCAATCCGGTCGACGCGTGCTCGGCATTGTTAAGTGCAAACTCCGCAAGAGGCAGGAAGGAACTCCAGTTCTCGAAGGATGGGGCATAACTGCGCAGACCATCTTCTAGCACGCGGTTGACGCGTTCCGTTTGCCCGTCAGTCTCCGGGTGCGCCGCCGTCGACATGAGGAGTTTGGTGCCCAGGAGGTCGAAGAGTTTCGTCCAGAACGCCGATGTGAATCGGGGATCGCGGTCAGAGACGATTGATTCAGGAAGGCCGTGATGTCGGAAGACAGCGTCGACGAAGAGCACCGCGGTATCGGCCGCGGTGATTGAGTCCGGAACCGGAACGAGATGGCACATCTTGCTAAAGCGATCCACGAAGACCAGAACACCAGTACGACCGTCAGTATCGGGTGGGAGATCGAATATGAAGTCCATTGACACAGAGCGCCACGCCACTGTTGCCAGAGGGAGAGAACGCAGCGGAGCTTGCGATGACGGTGACGGCTTAACGCGTTGACAAGTTTCGCAGGAGCGGACCCACTTGCGCACCCACTTGTATAGGTGAGGCCAGTAGAAGTCGCGGGATACCGCTGCGAAAGACTTCTCACGGCCCAAGTGGCCACCCACTGGAGCGTCATGGAATTCGTGTATAATTCTTGCGCGTAGATCGGGGTCATTGGGGACAACGACGCGAGGAGCATCGAATCGATCGATACTGTACATCAGTAGATCACCGTCAAGTTGGTATCTGTGAATCTGGTCGCGCGTGGAGTGGCTCAG